ATTAGTCACCACATACGCAATCGGTTGACTTAAGGGTCTTTGCTTTCTAGTGCCATATCCACTACCGTTGCTGGTACTCGCATATTCAGATTCTCTACCTGCGCCTGGCACGCTGCTACTCCTTGGCACTGGTGTTGCCGGTGGACATATGCCAGGGCAATGTGTGCACTGAAGATTTGTAGAGCTGGGATACCATTGTGAATTGGCAGATGCTGATGGTGTAACAATTCTGTTTGAGTAGCCCCAGTGGAGACCCGGTTTAGGCTCAGCAAAAACTGCTGATTGGCTAGGGTACGCACGAGGATCGGGTAGTGCTGTACTCTGACTAGTGTCCTTCACCCGGCTACCTAAATTAGATAAATTACAATAAATGATAAATTATACTTAATTTGGGATATAAATTGAAATTTTGCATTAGGACAGTTAGGAGGAGTGCCAAGTTGATGGAACCAAAAGTCATCACAGCGACTCATCGCGGGCTAGCTGTGAGGTAACGAGAAACTAATTCGATTGAAAGAGCAAATTGGAAAAGTTGTCTCATCAAAAAAGTAATTGAATAGTGCTACTAGCAGAGGGAGGAAATTGTGCAATTTCCCGGGCTATATCTAAGGTTAATCCATAATCGGTAATCTGACCCATTTAATAGAAGATATTTTGTACGAATTCATGTATACTCTTGTATGTTCAATTGCTTCTCGTTACAATTAGTGAAGATGCGTCACTGGAGAAACTAGCTTAACTTGAACAAAATTGTTTCCCTACTTGTAAACGAAATATAATTTTAAGAGAAGATATTTTTTATTTATTCATATGCACATACTTCTTGTTGCATCAATGTATGTTGTGGGTGCTTTTAAATTTTAATTAAATCTTGTTTTCTATTAGGAAACTTTAGATGCAAACCGTACAAACCCTTTTCTCTGAACCGTGCTCTTCAGCTCTATGCGCTTTGCAAACGCTCGAAACTTTACAACAACTTAAACTGTTTCTTATGCCAAGTTTCTGTGCACAAACGTACTTAGAGTATTGCAGGCAAACTTTCGAGAAAAAAGCACAAAGAAGATTAAGAAGCTGTTTGAGGTTTGTTTCACGTTAAGATTATCCAGATTGTATTTTTTTAAAGAACCTTAGAAACATAGTAATTGGATTTTGGGCAGAGCAGGTGGCGTTAGTTGTAATGAACATGGCACCCACTTAGAATAGGTTATACTTGAACTTACAAAAATGTTTCTCCTTGCGTGGCATAATGCAACAACGATATATAACAAAAGCAAAGATCAGGCAGACGATAAAAGCGGCGCCGCAGAAGACGGCCGCCAGCAGGGGCAACCTATCGCTCGGAACACGCCAGCCGCCACGTGGTGCCGATGCGGCCGTCGGTTTAGGCCACATACTCGCCGTCAACGTAACCCATTGTTGCTGCAAGACGAGCTCTTCCTGTCGATAAGACCCCTCATCACCTGAAACAAATTACAAACATCTTTAAAATCAAGTATAAATCAATTAACATTAATAAACGACAAGGACCCTACCTAAAAATTTAATTTTATCTTATCTGCCATAGGACAAAGGTAAAGATGTTAAAGGTATTGATTAATTTTGAAATTGCATAATTGCCGAACAAATTGAACCAGAAATTTTCAATTAAACGCAATGCCGCCAGCTTGCGGAATACGTTATTCTGTGTAGAGAAGGAAAAGAGGAAAAACAGAGGAAGAGACGGGTGTAATGGATTCAGGATGGATTCTAGTTCCTCACTGCGCGTAGAGAATCATTTGATATGGGAAATGTGCAACGTGTGAGTGAGTGAGGAATGAATTTAATGGGGATATCTAATTAAAACGGGTAAATTGATTTTAATTTTGTATAAACTTAGTTGCAAACAATTAAATTGATTTCTACTGGAATCCTTCTTCATCTAATGTTTTTTGTTATCTGTTTATTTATTGAAAGATTACAGAATAATTTCGTAAACACAGAATTCACCGTATTGTATACACATGGTTCAGTCAAAATATATTTTAAATAAATTCTACTCTTAGTGCAATTTTTACATACATACGAGTATAATCGACCGAGACAATACTATAGTTGCAACTCAATTACTGTAAATGTTTTATAGTAAATTCTAAAATATTTACAGCACATCCGAGGTTTACGAATTATGATCGGTGTAAATTATTTTGGCATATGTAAGTAATTAGCACTTTCGGAAACAATTATTCGAGTGTTTTGAACAATAATTTATTATTAAGGGATATTTTTTGCGTGCGTCGAGTGTAATTTTCACGTTTGCTACTCGCGGCTCGATTCCGGCTAATCTTAATCTGTACCACCAGGAGTTGCTAAACGCTTGCGTGAACAATTGGGGTTTGCAGGTGGCTAATGTGCCGTAAAGCTCCCAGGGATACAATCATCCTGCTACTCGTCCTATTCTGCACCGAGCTGGCGCAATCAAGTGTTAACCGTTAACGCTCTGAATGTTCGGTACAGTTGCGATTGCAAGTGAATGCCGCATTGTTATGCTTATTTACAGTTGCGGGTTTTTGTGGGGTAACTTTTATTTATTTTTGGAGCAAATTTCTTTAACATGATTTACAGTATTTTTTATCAAAATATGTTAATTTTCATTGCGTTGACGGTTTTTTGTTAGTAATAAATTATCTTACATAAGGTATTATCAAAAGCATTTTGATCGTTTATTTACATTTAAGAAGACATCATTTTCTCTTCATTTATTTTAAAAGACACCCAATTTGTTTGGGGTACAAATGGTGTTAGTGGTCTTAAGGGATTTTGGGAACCACCGGTGCAAATCCAATCGTCGAATGACAAATGCCTCAAACTTAAGTTGATGTAATACCGGCAAGTAACTTTTCTTCAACAAAGAAGAAATCCTAAAATAGAAGAAAAGTTAAAAACTTTTCTTGGAAGAATAATGACAACTATTATTTACCAAAATGATAACAAATGTATATTTATTAAAGGATATGTAATCCATGGTATAAAATTTTAATTGATAATGAATAGTTATACGAAAAATCTAAAATCAAGAAATCACAAAAGTTCAGATTTAATATTAATTAATATTGTGCAAAATTCAAAACGTTTAGTTTAAATTTTGTGACTTATGTAACGAGTGTTACAAATCTTTGTATTGAATAATATTTCACGAAACACCGCCTGACTTTTATGACCCTACCGACTTGCTGGTTGGCTGGATCCTTGCTTATTACAATTTCTCCTCGTAACTCTTAATAAAATCGCTGCAAAGTCATAGTATGCCGAAGGCAACGGAAACATCAAAAAGGTCAGAACCTGCACCTTTCTCGACCGCACTTATGTCACCCTTCCTATCTTCCTATAAAAAGCTTATTCTAGCAAGTACTACACTGTGGTTAGATTACACACTGACACAGGCCGGTGCTCGCATTATGCGCCCCGATTCGCATTTCTAGTGGTCGAATAAATCACGATTTCGAAACCACGTTTGGCTGACTTGTGGAACCTCCACAGCCCTAGTCGGTTGCCTGTAATGGATTTGGTGGTTATATTGGTTCAGCTAGTTTTCCACTGACCGGCGTGGTGCTGACTTCCGTGCATGAAAATCTATTCCAATCTATTACAATTGTATGTCTATTAGAGAGGGAGTGAGGTAAAAAGGGTGTGATTCCGTGGTCCTGCTTCTTAACTTCTTGGACAATACTGCCGAAAGCAGCTTTTCAGCTTTCCTGTTCCAACGTGAGGACTAAGCGCAAAGATTTATTAATACAAGAGCCAATGCCTTCTTCTTTGAGGCACTAGAACACGCTTTCTGGAAAGTTCAATTTGTGTGTAAATTTAAAGTCAACTATGAAATCCAAATACCTAGAGTTTATACTATGGACATTTTAACTGAAGCGCCCTATTCGCTTATGCAAACGATGAAACGTACCCAGTTAGATCTTTGTAGAGGCAATCATAACAACTCGTCGAGGTAAACACATTAAACATAGAGTAAAAGCATTGGCATTGTTCGGAAATTTATCATAATTGTAACCTTGTAACCTTTGATTATTCATCTATTTATTATTCAATAAAATTTTAGAAATCGTATCAGTGGCGGATTACGGCCTAGGCGCACTAGGCGCGCGCCTAGGGCCCCGGCTGCCTGGGGGCCCCGGCTGCCTGAGGGCCCCTGGCACTTATATGTCCCATATAGACATAGTAATTCCACAAATACTTCATCAGTTGGTTTTGACCTCAGCCTTTATGAATAGCGTATTGGTTTTCACTTGGCGCCCAAAACGGCATTTCACACGTGTCCGCAAAGCAACCGTCACGGATATATAGCTGACTTAAAACTTTTTATCTCCGATTTTATTTCTTTATGACAAACTGTTTAAAATAAAATTTGGATGTTTTCTGCCACGAATTTTGTGACCTTTTCTTGAATATTGCATTAGAAAGTTGTAGCTATAATGCGAGTAGTATATTGCCAATTTTTTAAATTTCGAACATCTGTGGAGGAGATGAGTTGAGGAATATTCCATTGAGGTTGTAAAATAGCGGGTAACTCTCTTTTGGAATATTAATTATTTCGTCTTTCTATCATTTTTACATCTGCGGAACACGTTGTACCAACGTTTATCCTCCTACAATTTTTATCTAGATTTTTGGGGTGGTAGTTGGATTAAAAAAACAGAGTTCAAAAGAGTTCGATCAATTTGAGACGGCACTGTTAACAATTTTCTGGAACAAACTCCTACAGAGAATCGAAATTACCAGCAAATACTTACAGGAACCAAAGACAAATATTCTTAATAGTGTTAGTTTATTAAAATCATTAAACGAATTTATAACAGTGGTCAGAAATAATTTCGAAACTGTTGAAGAGGAGGCTAAATCCTAACAGCTCATCATTCTTATAAAGAGATGAGACAAAGAAAACGCAAATATCCATATGATGAAACGAACAAAAATGATACAGCATTTTTGTCAAGAAATTTTTATTGTCAACATTTTTATATTGTATGTGATGTATTAACATCAGAAATTACTCGAAGGGGCGATGTCTATATCAATGTTCTTAACGATTTTAAAATTTTCTTTGATTTAAAATTAAGCCGTGTTGAGACTAATAATTGTGTAGAGCGATTATTGTCTAAGTATGAAAAGATATTGAGCCAGAATATTTCACTGATGAGTTAACTCATTTTCTAAAATACATACAAGAAGAAAATATTAGAGATCCACATGAAATGTATGCAACATTAAGTAATGGTCTAAAATCAACTTTTCCAAATATACACACAATACTGCAAATTTTTTTGACCTTGCCCGTTTCTAATGCAAGTGGAGAAAGGACATTTTCAGTTTTAAAACGAGTCAAAAACTATCTGCGCAATAGTCTTTCACAAGAGCACTTAAATGACTTCGCATTAATGTTTATAGAAAATGATATTTTAAAAAAACTAGAGTACGACAAAATTATTGAAATCTTTGCCCAAGAGAAGGCAAGAAAAGTAAATTTGTAATTTGTATTTAAATACGATTACCGTTTTTGAGCACACGTACGATGAACTCGAGAACCAAGATAGCATTGAAAACGATAATCCCATCGCGGATAGTATGGCAGAAAATTTTACCTGTGATATTTCGATCGGTTCTGAAAACAATTAACGCACAACACCTGGTCCATCGCGAAGAGCGAATCGGAAGATAATCCATTAAATTTTGGAATAGTGCGTGTGGATTAGGCCTGCTGGGGATACCACGATAAAAAAAACGCGCCACGTACTCTACCTCATGGTGGTGTGGAAATGAGTTTTTGGCACAAACGAATGTTGAAGTAGACTTTGCGGCGCCCGTACGCTAAAACTATTAATTTTACTGGGCTAATAACCGTTTTTGAAAATTTTCGGATTTAGGGGCCCCAAACTTGATTTGCGCCTAGGGCCCCACTGAAGCATAATCCGCCACTGATATAGTTCAACTATAGAAAACCATCTACAGATGAAATTTAAGCATGGCGCATATGGAACAGCAGGGTATTCAAAATAGAATAAGAAGTTCTGAGCTTTAGGGAAGTTCTTAGTGGTTGCACATTCAATGAACCGATAAATTTAATACTACTTATAGTTTAGTTTTGCTTTCACGCAAATTCAACAATAAAAAGAGGATTTACGTATTTACAACATTCAGAAAGTATATTTATAAATATGTCTTCTTGTAATTATAGGAAGGTAAGTTTATTACCTTGGGATTACTGTGTTTTTTGTTGATGTTGCAAAAATGACAAAAGTAAAATATATTTTGATTTATTTTCCTCCATTCTCCAGTGACTTCGTACATTATTTCTTACATTCCACAAGAGAAAACATCCCACAACCTAAAAACCTGGTGATTTATTTATTTCATTTCTTTATTTCCGTTTTATTTGTAATTCCAATCGAAATAGCTTTATTTTCCATGCACAACG